GAGAGGCTCTGACCAAGGTTATGAAGGTCAACTGCACCAACAACAGACCAGTTAAAGTGAGGGATACCATCTTGGAGGAAGTAACATCTTTTGTCTACCTAGGCAGTGTAGTCAGCATTGACGGAGGTTCCGATGAAGATTTCAAGGTCAGGATAAACAAAGCCAGAGTAGCTTTCAATACGCTGAGGAAAGTGTGATCCTCCCATGTCATCTCACGGAGAACCAAATTTAGAATTTTTAACACCAATGTCAAAGCAGTCCTCCTCTATGGCTCAGAAACGTGGAGAACAACTAAGCAAACGTCCCAGAAATTGCAGACCTTCGTCAATAAGTGCCTTAGGCGAATCTTAAAAATCAGTTGGACTGACAGGGTAACGAACGAGATGCTGTGGGAATTAGCAGGCGAGGAACCACTCATAACTCAGATCTCAAAGAGAAAGTGGAGATGGATAGGTCACATCCTAAGGAAACCGGCTAACAACATCACCCGGCAGGCACTACGTTGGAACCCCCAGGGCAAGAGAAAGAGGGGTCGTCCCAGGAACTCCTGGAGAAGAGGTGTAGAGTCCCAAATGAGAAACTGGGGCCACACTTGGGCCACTTTAGGAAGATTTGCCCAGGACAGAACCCGATGGAGGACGGAACTGGTTAATGGCCTATGCTCCAACCGGAGCTAAGGGAATATATATATGATTAAACACGCGGGTACTTTGCTCATTGAACAAGATCAAGACATGGTTGGAGGAAAATTAGACCCAAATCAGTCCTGGACTGATCAAGACTGATCGGTGTCCGGATTGAATTTATGGGGTTCGGTTCTGTCAAAGAGCGACATGTATTATTATCAGCATATGATACGAAATAAACAGTACTTACCAGATTCAGATCTAATTGTTTCGTTCTAGCTTAAAACATGACACAATTTCTTTAATTTCTTCAAACCTTAATTTTCTTTTCATTTCACAGTACCACCTTTTCTTCCTTCGACATTTTTTTTCGATATTGACGATAAACAATACTTGTTTGAGTCACTGTACCTTGACATTCTAAACAAGCACGCACCACAAAAGCAAGCACACATAAGGGGCAATCAAATTCCTTTCATGAATGAACAATGGCGTAAAGCCATTCGTCACCGCAACAAACTTTGGAAGAAGTTCACGCATCAGAGGACCGACGCTAATTACGCCGAATATAAGAAACAAAGAAACAAATGCACGTCAATTAGGCGCAAAGCGATTGAAGATCATTTTAAAAACAAGTCAGAGACCGACAATCCACGTGCAATTTGGGAGGCTTATCGTCCTTTTATGCATTCGAGGTCAAGTAAAGAAGCCAATGACATTACGCTAATTGAAAACGATGTAGTTATAACGGATAAAAAAGAATTGGCTGAATTGTTCAACAACTACTTTGTTCACATCATTGATGATGTACAGAACATTAAAGAACATAACTTTGGACACGAATTCAGTGCACACCCCAGCATTCGAGCAATTGCGGAGGAAAACAGAAGAAAGAACGCCATACATAATTTTAATTTTAAATACACCAGTAAGAACTAGGTTGAAAAACTACTACTAAACATCAACGCACGCAAGGCTTGCGGCCACGACACCATAACTCCGCGACCTCTTAAGGAATCCGCTTCTGTGATATCTGGTCCACTAGCAGAGTTAATGAATGAATCGATCAAACAATGTAAATATCCTGCTCGATGGAAAATGGGGCAAGTAACACCTCTTTTCAAGAAAAATGATGAATCGAGTAAAGGAAATTATCGACCAGTTACTGTTTTACTGGCCCTAAATAATGTTTTTGAGAAACTCCTTGCTTCTCAACTAGACCAGTTCTACACTGAACTATTGTCTGACTACATCTCAGCGTATAGGAGACACTATAGCTGTGAAACCTCGTTAATGAGGTTAACAGAAGATTGGAAGCGTAGTCTGGATAAAAAACAAATTGTTGCAGTGATATCAATGGATTTATCTAAGGCTTTTGTCACCATACCGCATGGACTTTTTGCTGGCTGAGCTGAAGGTTTATGGTGTCAACAGTAGAAGTTGTATGCTTCTTAAAGATTACCTACACGGTAGGATGCAGCAGGTGAAAGTAGGTGATACAAGCTCTGATTGGCAAGAAGTCAGGCGAGGAGTACCTCAAGGCAGTGTTCTTGGACCAATGTTTTTTAATATTTTTATAAATGATTTATTCCTGCAAATTAAAACTGTACAATTAAATATGTATGCAGATGATGGTCAACTCTACACTGCCGATACGGATCCGGTATCCTTGGAAAGGTGTATCTCGCGTGAGGTAAGCTCAGCAAATGCCTGGTATGAGATCAATGGAATGATAGCAAATCTCAGCAAACACCAAGGGATGATACTAGGAAAAACTGATCATCAATTTAATTTCTCAGTAAATGACTCAGTGGAACTTTTTGGCGTCACAATTGATAAAGATCTTACGTTTAAGCAACATGTGTCCTCTATATGTAAAAAGGTAAACAATCAGTTTAGCGTTATGACAATGTTCGGCAAACTGATGTCTACTGAAACCATGCTACGTCTTTATAAGGCATTTATACTTCCTCACTTTTATTATTGTGCTATGGTGTGGCATTGCTCTGGTAAAAAAGATTCTGATAAATTGGATCTTTTAAACAAACGTATTCTTCGATTTATTTTCAAGGATTTTAACTCTGAATACAATAATTTACTTAAAAGGGCAGGAACTGTAAACCTTAAGGACAAGCGTTTACAAAACATGATTCTTACTATTCAGTTTAAATGTCTACATTTTTCTGATTATCCAAGATGTTTGAAAAATATGTTTCGCTTGCGCTCTAGCACCTATTCTTTAAGAGGACATAATATGCTCTGTTAGCCTAAACCATTGACCACTTCTTATGGTATCAATTCCTTTAGTTACTTGGCAGCAATATCTTGGAATTCTCTTCCTGACCATCACCTCACTATTTCTGATTTTACTTCTTTTCGACGACTGTTATCTACTGGGTACAATAATTTACTTAAAAGGGCAGGAACGTAAACCTTAAGGACAAGCGTTTACAAAACATGATTCTTATTATATTTAAATGTCTACGTTTTTCTGATTATCCAAGATATTTAAAAGATATGTTTTGCTTGCGCTCTAGCACCTATTTTTTAAGAGGACATAATATACTCTGTTTGCCTAAACCACAGACCACTTCTTATGGCATCAATTCCTTCAGTTACTTGGCAGCAACATCTTGGAATTCTCTTCCTGACCATCACCGCATTATTTCTGATTTGACTTCTTTTCGACGACTGTTATCTACTGGGTACAATAATTGACTTAAAAGGGCAGGAACTGTAAACCTTTCTACATCAAGATGATTTGTTAGTTAGTTGTCTTGGTAGGTAGTTATCCTATTTGTTATAGAATTAATCTCTTTATTATAATTATTTATTAATGCAGTTTGCTCGAAGATATTAGCATCCGAGTGCTACACTGTAAATTTGAGGGTAAATAAAGTTTATTCATTGATTGACTGAATCCTGGTATCAATGGATCCCCATAGATAATTTATGGGAAAAAGTCAAGAAATTCTCATGTTTGAAATCAATTAATTTTTTAATTAAAACTTACATAGCGCAACTTTCCATGGCACATGATCACATAAGCTTTACAATAAGTTAAAAAGACTAAAATTTATAAAACTTACAAGCAGATAGAAAGAAAAATCTAAAGGCAGTTTATGGTTTTTGTCATTGTTATCGTTCTCCAACAAGTGTGGAGCTACACCTGTTGTAAAAATCTCCTTGATCGGTCGTAAAAATTCTTTGTGGGGTTCAGATTTCACCGCTCTTTTCCCTTTTTTTATTAATTGAATGTCCTGCCCTTAGGCAAAAATACGGAGTTAGAGAAAAAGGTGGCCAAAATTTCATGACCCAATGGAATGAAATACCTTTCTTCTTGCTCTGGCGCTCATCTATCGACTAGACAACCCCAGACAGATCGATCAAAATATAAATACAATAATTTTTCAAGAGATTTACCTATGTATGTTAGTATTCATCATTTAAATTTCCATAGACTCAAAACAATTTATGTAATGACTTGCCATATCACAGCGTTATAAATGAAAACGGATAAGTCTTTATGGATAAAATTCGTCGGCAGAGATAAAGAAGAAATTGCGTCATATCGCATCAGGTAAAATAATTGTTTCTGTTGTTAGTTCTCAGGAAATTATCACTCTTTTTATTTTCAAAGTTGCTGAAAAATTCGGCAACGTCCGCTCTAACTATGCCGTCCCCTTCCATGTGAACGATCAGCTCATCATTTTTTCAGTTGCCATGCCTCCTTTCTCAGTCTTCCCTTACATTTCCCTTCCTATAGATAACGATCTAGAAGAGAGACTCCATGAATGAGGTTGCCTCACTGTTCGTACGCAGTCTAACGCGTTCCATCAATCTCTATTTAGTCGATGTTATTTACAGCACTTGCTAATATTATCGCCGTTCGTCAGAATCATATGCATGTATCAGAACTTTTGTGATGCATTTGAATTAAAAGATACTCCACTGGTGTAGTGGGTAGAATATTTACATTCACTGGAGGCGAAAATCATTTTTGACCCAGGCCTTAATTAACCTGAGGTAGTGAAAAGAAGGCCTGAACAAATTCAGGCCTGTACGGGATTTGAACCCATGACCTCTGCGATACCGGATGAAATCCCGGCCTGAATTTTTTTCAGGCCTTCTTTTCATTACTGCTCACGTAGTGTTCATTACTGCGAAGATCGCTTTCATCTTCACGTCTTTATCCGCAGTTCAAATATATGACTTTCATATATTCACAGCCGTTTGAAACAACTAGAGTCAAGCTCCAAACTAAAACGAGACAATTGAAACTAGATCTGGCAATTGACATTTATTTCATTTTAGTTTTAGCTACCAGAGACTGTTTTCAACAGAATTTAAGGATAAACTGTAACGTTGCCATGA